GTGCATAAATTGTAAAATGGAGGTAGTCACCATAAGGTGTAGACCTCAAATGGGGCATAATCTGTATTAACAGTAGATGCCAAGTAATTATGCAAGTTGTATAAACACATCTTAAGGTAGTCATCAAGAATGATGTAGACCTTAGTCAATTCGTAAACAAATTAGGTACGCACGTTGAGGATAGTCACTAAGTTGTGGACTTAGTGTAGATCCCACAGTAGCAACTATGGTGCTACCTTGTGTATGGCCAATAGGAATACAAATTAATGGTAGTCATCTTTGTGAAAAGATGTAGACCAAATGTTCTCATTTGTGATGTTGGGTACTGAAAGCATCTAGGCCCCTAGTTGGGTTTTGGTGATTAATGACAATACAAGATTACTATGACTAACGTGTGTTTTGCAGAGGCAATTAAGTTAGGTCATGGTAATGGAGATCGATTGGGCAATCATGGCGGTCATGCCCCTACGATGGAAATCGTTTCGGTTTTCAAAGGATGGACGACAAGGTTAAGGATGACTAGTTCTAAGTGTCGATTGGAGTTGGAAAGACACTTAGAGTAGTTTAGGACTTTGTTTTTCCTTTGGCCGTACTATTAAGGAGGGTATGGACGGGTAGCTTGACCTAGATTAGTCTAGTGAGTTAGGTGTGGTGCACACTTGTTAAAACTAGCACTAGGTAGCTCCTAAATATGCCTAAGATCCATTGGAGCAAACTTCATTCACATATGATCGAGAGTTGGAAGTGAATGGAGGGTCAAATACTGACCGAACGCTGGCTCTGGTTTGACCGGACGCTGGCTCAGGGTCCGGTCAGTTCATTTGACCAAGGTGACTGCGTCTGGCGCGACCGGACGCTGAGAGGTCGAGTGACCGGACGCTGAGAGGCAGCGTCCGGTGGACTCCAGTAAGGTTTCAGAGAGGGAAAATCGTGACCGGACACGTCTGGTCAGTGCTGATCGGACGTTGCCCAGCGTCCGGTCACACTGTAAACACTGGAGTTTGGGGTGTACTGACCGGAGCGTCCGGTCACCCCACAGAAGCACATAACGGTTCGTTTTTCAGCCCATGTTATAAATAGATGCTCCACTCGTGTGTGGAGTCACTTTTGCTCATTTCAACAGCTGAGACACACCTTAGAGAGTGCCAAAAAGAGCAAGGTTCTAGTGAGGTGATTGAGATTTGAGAATCCCAAAGAGAGCCCTCATTAGTGAGATCAAGAGTAGCAAAGTGTGCATCCATCTTTCTCCCTAGGCTTGTCGTGGTCAAGTGAGAGTTCGTGTTTGTTACTTTTGGTGATCGCCATCACCTAGACGACTTGGTGGTGATTGGGAGCTTGGTGATCATCCGGAGAGCTTGTGGATGACCCAACTCACATTGTGAGCGGTTGTGGGTGATTCACCGCGACAGAGTGTCGAAGAATCAACCCGTAGAGAGCACTTGATCCTTGCGCGGATCAAGGGGGAGCTACACCCTTGCCTAGGTGCTCCAACGAGGACTAGTGGAGAGTGGCGACTCTCCGATACCTCAGCAAAACATCGCCGCGTTTCCTCTCCTCTCTATTTACTTTGAGCATTTATTTTGAGGAGTGGCGACTCTCCGATGCCTCGGCAAAACATCGCGTTTCCTCTCCTCTCTATTTACTTTGAGCAATTCAACATTCATAGAATTGCCATGCTAGAGTAGGATTGGAATTTAGGTTGCAAATCTTTTGTGTGGTAGAACAACTAGGAACACTTTCTAGGCACAAGGGGTTAATTGGGCTAACCATAGAACTTAATTATTGCAAAGAAATTTTTAATTAGCCCAATTCACCCCCCTCTTGGGCATCTTGATCCTTTCAGGTACGCACGTTGAGGATAGTCACTAAGTGTTTACTTAGTGTAAATCCCACAATAGCAATAATGGTGCTACCTTGTGTATGGCCAACAAACAAATAGGGAACATGCGCGTTATACAATTGATGAGAAAATATACATAAATGTCGCATCCATTATTTAAGCGCGTAGTGCTTTAAAGTCGAAAAGCATAAAAGGGGCTTAAATAAAATGATCGATTGCAAAAGTGATAAATGAATAAATAATTTGCAAGATCATGATCGTAATAACAAGGATATTATTTATTGGATTTGCCATACATACAGGGACAAATACTTTGAATAATATCATAAATGGATATTTTACAATGATAAAATATCACAAGTACAACTATAGTTAAAGTCAACGACTAAACACAAGAGTACTTAATTTTACAACACATAATTATAAGAGACTAACAGAGTCTTATACGAATTAATGCTGAAAATATTAAATTAACGAAAAGAGTAAATAGCTTGATTTGTCAAACTTGAATCCATCGGCATCCTGGAATTTGGCCCATGCAGGTCCATGCGGGCACGCACAGTGGAAATGGAGGGGGTGGCAAGGCACAGGCCTGTGGGCCGGCCTAGTTGCAGCCGCAGGCCTTTAAAAGGGGCTCAGCCGGTGGTTAGGGTAACCACCCACCGCCGTTGCCATCTAAAAGCACCCACCGCCGCCGCCGCAAACCACCTCGCTGTCGCACTCCACTATGCCACCGCTGCCGCCGGTCTTCAGTTCGAGGAGTCCCCATCCTCCGATGAGTAGAAGCCGCTGCCGCCGACGGCCATGTTCAGCACCTCCGCGCTTGGGAGGCCGAGATCCGTCGGATTCTAGGTTCCGGAGCGTCGAGGTCGGCAGCGTCTCAGCCGGAGGAGGACCCGGGAGGGCCTTCGCCTTCATGCAGGCAGCGGCTTCGTGCGAGTCGTGGGCGGAAAAGCCGGTGTCGGGGTCACCTTCGGAGGTAGAGCCGAGGGGTCGGCCGCGTCGAAGAAGGTGTATGGCGGAACGCCGGTCCTGGCCGCGCGCGTGCCGCCCGGGTTGAAGAGGTTGTCGACGCCAGGGGCAGCCACCATGTCCTCATCCTCAGTCTTCACTTGCTGGAGCATCGACGCGGAGACGGTGTTGAAGATCCAAGGATTGAGGACGCCGCCGGGCATGCCACTGTTAGCCGCCACTTGAGTCGGATCGACCGGTGTGGGCGATGGCAACGTGTAGTTGTACTCCAGCGTGTGTGGCATCAGCGTGTACTCCTTGCAAAAGTCACACCAGTAGCGAGGCGGTGCCGGTGCTGGCGACATCGGCTCCATGGGGACGTATGCGGGTATAGCGACAGGCTCGGCAACCACTTCATCAATGGGCGACGCGGGGCTTCAACGACTAGTGGCACCGAAGCTTCATCGACTGGTGGCGCCGGGGCTTCAACCGCTGGAGGCGCAGCGTTGCTGGGGCCGACACCGTCCAAGCCAAGGCAAGGAGATGGTGGCTGGCTCTGCAGACGAAGATCGCGCGGAGGAGAAGCATGGCGGCCACGAACAGGAATCCATCGGCGGCGAGGAACTGCATTGGCACGGAGGCCACGAACAGCGGAGTCGAAGAGGCGGCCGAAAGGACCATGGCCATGACCATGGGCAACGTTGTGGCGAACGCGAGGCCCAAGGCGCTCGAAGACACTTCGGCGCTGTCCATGGTGGCTGTGGTGTCGGATCGGGCCACGTCAAACTCCGCCGATGCGACGAAGTGCGAAGAGCAAGCCACGAACAAGATGTGACGGTAAGTTGATCTTTGCCATGCTTACCGATGGTGGTGCAGAGGCATACGTGCCTCTATTATCGTTCTCCTTCTGTTCCTGAAGAGCGAAAGTGACTAATAACGTATTGTAAAGTGAATAAAATGAACAAAGATTTGGGAACAACTATCTGTTTCATTGATCTCTTTGAATTATATACAAATGAAGGGCCACGTTGTACGGACGTCGTACGGACGTAGCTATTCGGAAAAAGCAACTGTTCACTAGAACAGTCTACTACCGAAGGGACATGCCCCTTCATAGTGCTACAGTCAGCTACTAATCTAATCTCTAATCCTAACTACTTGTACGGACGTCGTACGGATCTGTACGGACGGATGAGATCATATGTAGAAGGACGCCTGTTGGTGTCCTGACGTCATTTCACAACAGAATCTAGTTTTGTTTTAACTCAAACTATAGTAATTTTGATCAAATTTATAAAAAAGAATATTAACATCTACAACATCAAAGTTATTATAATTCAAAAAAGAATATTAACATCTACAACATCAAAGTTATTATAGTTCAACTTATGACAAAACTAGATACCCTATATTTCATGACCGAGAGTACTGGTGTAGACAAATAGACCAATTAATGTGAAGAAAGGTTTCGCCTAGACTAGGGCCTTGTTTAGATTGCAAGTTTTTTCACTCTCTCTCCATCATATCAAATCTTTGGACATATGCATGGAGTAATAAATGTAGATAAAAAATAACTAATTACACAGTTTGATTGTAAATTACGAGACGAATCTTTTGAGCCTAGTTAGACTATAATTGGACAATAATTATCAAATACAAACGAAAGTGCTACAATGCCAAATACTGATTCCTAACCTCAATCTAAACAAGACCTAGATACGTTAGCTATATATGAACTTGATGTTTCGAGAAACCATTATTTTTTTTAATCTTAGGGCAATAATGTAATGGCAAGCTAAATCCTAGTGCCACCAGGCATGCCGTCAGACCTAAACGACATCGTGCACTGACTTTGAACGTGCCGCGACTGCTCATCCTACGTCGGGAAGTCAGCTCCAGACGATAGGGCCAGACTGAACTTCATGGCCGTTGTTGCACGCATTACACGTGCGAATTGCGACGCCAAAAGGTGTCCAGTCACAGAGTGGGGCGATCACGATCATATACAGGTAGTTAAGATAAAGAGTATCACTAGTCATGCAAGCGTAGGTCAAAGAACATTGTTCCCAGGATAAAATGCACTTCATAGAAGAGGCATCGAAATGCATCAGCACCCACTAGTAGTTTTAACTTACAAAATTCCCAGGTAGGTTTCTGCCTCACAAGACGAGCACGTGTTTTGATCTATCTTCAGCAAAATCCATGTCGGTCACATAGCCTTGGTGGTTGCAGACAACTTCATGGATTCCACAGCTTTCCTGAACGTTTCAAGATATAATAATATTAGGTGTTTTGGCCCCAGTGCATGACCACGTACGCTGATGCAAAATGTTATGCACGATTTTAAGAATTTTGAAAGACCTGACAAGATTGATGGTGTTAAAGTGCCCTTTCCAACATATCGTTGCCTTTAACTACTAATAACAAACTCAAAACGAGTAAAGGCCCTTAAGAGGTGCTTAATATGGAGAGTATTTTAGGTATGATTAGCAATGAGATGCGATGAAACATGCAATTCGTATATACTCGAACTGAAGGGAAAGATTTGATACCACAACTCATCCTCGATTTCAGCATTCCCTGGGTCCAACTTCAATCCTTCCAAAAGGGCATCGCAGGCACCCTTGTATTCCTGATGAAGCAGGAGCAGGACCAACTAAATGATTTGAAACGATTTTCAGCAAAAAGAAAAGGCAAACTAACTGTGTTTCTATTCGACCTTCAGTAACATCAAGGCTTTGCTCTGGCGGTAGCAGGCCTTTGGCCAGTCAGGCCGCCTTTTTTTGCATTCATAAGCATCCAGAAAGCTAAGCAAAGGCTTGCCTCCTTTACCAATGTGAAGCCAGCACAAGCTCCTATTCGCAAACAATGTTGCATCGTCAGGATCCAGCTCCAACGCCTGCATCCAACAAGTTAAAACAACAGTTGGCAGATTTGCAAACACTCAAAAAATAAATGTGCGTTTTATATAAGCATATATGCATCTATGAACAAAATTTAGTTGTGCAAGACTGCAAGCTTACAAAATTCAAAAAGTTTTTCTAATAAAATTCATGCATGGACCACGGGAATAACTAGCAATGAAAAGGATTGAAAAACAAAGAATGTGATGCTTTCTCCAATGAAGTTTTAACAAAGAGTTGGAAGTGAATACCACTTACAAACAAGTCGTGATCTACAGTAATTCAATTTCATACTCTTCCTTAAAAAATATGAAACTTCTGAGCAGTTCTACTGAATCTTATGACATGAGAATGATAGCAAAAATTTTGAATGCAATCTCATATAATTGCAAGTCTTCAAGGCAACATTCTGGTAATACTATCTTTATATTTGTAAGTTAGCTAAAGCATTTTCACATTTTATTATATGTTCTCCAGAACAAAGCATCTGCTAGAGCCGACTAGCTGTATAAATACATTTTAAACATACCAGAGTTAAAAAAGCACAACAGAATATAAACAAAAAGGCAGACACAAAATAGCTATTCAGTATCTTAATCCAGACGAACTACTGAAGTACCAGAAAGACAAGGCCACCTGAGTCCCAGATGGTTGGGACATGTTGTCATGTGAGTACGTGTCTCCAAAATATTACCTAGAAGCCACCCAGCATGCAAGTCCCAAAATTTGCAAAGATTTAACAGAAAAGGAAACTTTAAACAGATGTGTTTGAATTCATGAATAATCTGAACCATATTAGAGCAAATCATAAGTGGACCTTGTTTGCTTCCTGTAGAGAGGTGAGCAAGTCATTATGATTAAGACGGTTAATGTCATGGGTGTTGGAAGAGATAGCATTATATAGCAAATAATGACTTGTTAGGAGTTGATTACATCTCTCCCTTAGAAGAGATTGAATACGTCAATATAGCATTATACATTTATACTAGGAAGCTAGAGATTTTATCTTCTAGATATGATTTGTTAGGAGTCGATTACATCTCTCCCTTAGGAGTCTAGTACCTCCGCAAAAAGAGAGGACAAGTATCAGTCATATACGAGCAAGAATCAATCTAGTTCCCCCTTCTATGTTGATCCCTCTCAGTCTCATCTATGATCTAATCTCACATCCCTAGAAGCCAACTGCTCCCAGACCCGGCCAACAGCCATCCTCCTAATGGTGTTTACCATGTCATGGACTTGGGCCATGACAGTTAAAAACTACTCCTACATGCTAGAATGTGACATACCATACTGTAGGCTTCTGTGGCAGAAAGAAAATCCTTTCTCTTGACTGCCTCATTCCCTTGTGACTTCAACTTTGCTATTTTCTGTTGATCCACACGAGCATCCTGAACCATCAAGATTAAGCATATCAAATCAATTCTGATGCATGGGACACAAGAAATATAAAGCAACTATCTAGTCTAGAGGATAAAATTGTGTTTCCTTGATTCTGAAGGTTGGAAAAAATCTTTGGATTTTTCGGCTGTATGGAGGTATTGAGCAACACATGAGTGCATTTGGCCACATCATAGAACCATTAAATGATAAAAGAACTCCAATACAAAGATTAGCAAATATACAACAGTAAAATTGGTTTTGCTATTCTTTCTCTTACCAAGCAACAAAATGTTGTAGATATACCTACACAACAGTGTCTTAGAACAAATAAGAGACTCAAGCATATATCTCTAGACATGAATTACAGGAAAATTGACATCAATAACAACAAAGAAACATATCTTTCAAAAGCATGCAATCGTATAACATTGGCCAATCATTACCGGACCTTACTACTTCTAGACTATCACAAATAGAATTCGACAAACAGGAACGGCACTCAGGAACAACTACACGTGCATTTTATGCCAATATACAAGCAGATAAGAATAAATGAGTAAATTGTTGAGCCATAAAACATAAAGCAAAAGGAGCAAATATGCCAGTGGCTAGGCTAGTAGGCTGGGTGTGGCAGAAGGAGAAATAAAGCTCTTGCATTATGGTAACAGAACAACTAGAAGTATTGAACTGAAAATTCGACATCACTCATTAATGAAAAAATGGTGCCCCATAGCTTAAAGCGCTACAATTATCATTCCTCACTAGAAATATGTATCCACAACAGACATGAGGTTCAAAGTGCATGAGTATAGTAGAAAAGAGATGGATCTTACATCATTATGAGGCTCCCAATCACAATCAGGACCAAACCCCAGGAAGCAATTCAAGCACTCAGCTGAACCATTACTTGGAGCATCTGCTAGATAATTTAAGATATAGTCTCGATTGGCAATGGCACCGGCCTATCATGAAAAAGTTTGGATGTCATCAAAATGACTCAAGTAGCCTACCATAGTCTTTGCAATTTCAGAAATAAAAAGAGCACTGCTTGTTGCATGGATTTTTGTTTATTTCCATCATATTGTGGTAGCCGAATTGATGGAAGTGTACAAAATAAAGATTAAAACACGCACTGTGACAAGTGTCATAGGGCTCAAACAAGTACAGCATGCTACAAATGTGGTTGTCAATGGTCAGAAACCAAAACCTGACCAAATAATGCTCAGGGTTGCTAACCTGAGTATGTCTAAATGTTGCAATGAAGTAAACAGAACATAACAATTCTAGGGATTGACTTTTTTTTTCTCGAGTGCACAAAAGAGCTGCACATAATTGCATCAAGAAGAAATGTACATAGAGTACTCTTTCTCTAGATCAGAAATAAGCCAGACGTGCAAGACAAAAATAAACAATAAAACATCCAGCCACGATCAACTAAGGCTCAACCATTGTCAGTAGACCGATTTCATTCAAAAAATGATCAGTAGACTGAAACCTTTGGCCCCAGTTCTAGGGATTGACATACCAAGTTTAAGTTTAACATACCTCAACCAGGAGCTTCACGCATTTCAGCGAGGCAGCACTTATAGCAAAATAGAGAGGTGTCATACCATTTACCATCTTGTTGTACTAGCAAGAGACATTAAGCATGTTAGTGCGTACCATACAATTAAGGGACATTTCCAATATTATGGAATGATATAATGGTGAGATCGCTCCCATCACTCGGCTTCTAGCACAAGCCAGGAGACTATATCAGCTGAATTGCTGAACAGATTGCATCTAACATGGACTCCTAATGATAACTTTACTAATACTGGTAACCTTCCCAATGCTGATGCATGGATTGAGCCTACAGATAGAATGGTAGTAGTCTAGAAGAACATTAGCATGCCAAACTTTCAGTAATACGAAAATAGAGATGATGGTTTGCATGGCATTGCAAAAAAGCAAACACTACCCAAGATATAGTTATGGAATATCTTCTTTTTAGTTCCTGACAAGTACTGGCTAGTGCACTTTGTTCAGTTCAAGATGGCACTTAAAAAGGTGACAATACATAACACAGATTAATTTATTGTTGAAGTTCAAATATACAATGGGCAACAATGTCTGGGATAAATTGCTGACTGAAAATTGGCACTTGACAAGCCAGAAATGAGAAATGACAATATTTACAGTGGCACTTTCATTAATTGTATTCCCACTCAAACGATGGAACTGTACTTCTTTAGGGAAGAAAACACTACAGTTTTGACCAAGCTTTTGAAGTGCAATACTGTACATCTTACGGCAGAAGCAGTGTTGTTAAACTTACATCTGCATTGTGCTCCAATAAGATCTTCACAGTACGATCTTGATCCTCGGTGCAAGCAATATGGAGTGGTGTCCCACAAGCAGTCACCGGGTCAGTGTAAGCTCCTTTTGCAAGTAATAACTCTACCATTTCACAGTATCCTGAATAAAGGGGGAAAACAGGCTGTTACTAAAAAAAGTGGAGAATAGATTTTCGCAACAGTCTACTTCTTTCCTGTAGTTTCGCATGTCTCAGATTGTCCTGAACAAGCGCTAAATAACCAACTAGGCAATGAAGGGAAGGAAAGGCTCCATACAACAAGATCTATACATACTAAGCGACAAGACAAGAGTAATAAAATCACGATTTAGGTCCCTATGGTCTTGACAACTCCGTCTCATCCTCAATTGCAGATATGGAATGAAGGACATCATATACAACCACAAACCCAATTTTGGCCCTACTTATCCACCTATATAACTTTGACAACCCAAATATCCAATTTGAAACTTATGGTACCACCTTGAAGAATTTGTGACAATAAAACCATCTATCATGCAATTACTCCAGTGAATAACTACTAAGAAAGCCTAAATGCACACAAACGGAGATGGCCACTTTCACACACAGTAACACATATTCCCTAGTAAGGAAATAATATTACCGCATGATGTATTACAAATAGAAAAGACCATTTTGAAAATAAGACCAATGTACAGGTGCATAATGTGTTTATAGAGGTACCAAATCCAGCAGCTGAATGTAGTGGGGCAAACCCATCGGTGTTAACTTTGTCTTGATTGGCACCATGATCCAGAAGATACTTGAAAGTGACCACATTCTCACCGAACAAAGCATGAAGCAAAGGTGTTCTATCTGTCAAGCACAAAAATAGTGATTCTTATTGCACAACACTTTTTGGGTTGACAAATGTTTTGTTTTGATCAAAATACAGAGCATGCCCATATGTACTTCAAAAAAATGTACATAACAGGGCAATCTGTTTTTCCAATAGCAGCATAACAAAGTTTGGAAATATTTCAAACATAATATGGTGCATGGCCCAAATTTCACAGATAGCGTGGCAGAAGTACTTCAGGTAATATTTCACAAATAATGCATGGCCTTAATTTATGCATGAGCAAACATAATATGGCAAATGAAAGCATAAAACTAGATGCAAAGTGAATATCAGTTTTTATTTTTTATTTCTGGGGGTGAAATAATGATTGCTCGGGAACAATATATATAGTTTGCATTTTCACGGATGATCTATGAGGCATCCGATCATAAGACACACATGTTACAAAAGATATCGTGAGTGCCTGACCAGGGACTCGGTGGTTCCTCGTGTTCAGTAATGATCACCAAACCACTCCATGAAAATTGACGAAACTAAATGTGAAATGTCCTGCACTCAACAAAACTATGACTTGGTTGCGAAAAGAGAGGCAGACCTCCACAGTCTACGGCGTCCACGTCGACCCTCAGGCCTTCGACCAGGTAGCTGCAAATCTCCAACCTCCCGTTGCCGGCGGCGAGGTGCAGCGCCCCGGCGCCCTTCAGGACGCCGTCGGCTTCGACCTTGACAGCCTCCACCTTCTCCCTGAGGCGGCCACTCCTCTTATCCAGCGACATCAAGAGCTCTGCAAGCAATGTACGAGTGGCATCGAACCGGTCCGTACCCAAAATCAGCAGTGCAATGCGCGGCCAGGACCGGAGCCCTGGGCCCTAGAGGGAAGGAAGGAGGGGCCGAGGGAGAAGCGCACTTTTGAAGGAGCGGAGGTCGCCGTCGTACGCCGCCTGGAGGAGCATGCTCCGCTTCTTGCTGCCGGCTGTAGCGCGGCGCGGCGGCGGAAGGGAGGAGCGGGGAGCGCGGGAGCAGAGTTAATCGTCAAGTTTAGACGCACGGGGTGAGGAGGGTAGTGACGAGATGCTTACCGGAGAACATATCGACGTCAGAACGGAGAGGCGGCGGCGGCGCCATGGCGATCGGCAGTTAGGGTTCTGCAATGGGGAGGAGAGAGAGTTGGGGTTTGGGGTTGGGCTTGGGGCGTTGCGGGTGCGGGGGAAGATATATGAACGAAAGAGGAGAGGCCGCCGGAGCCGTAGGCGCGAAATCAAGGCGACGTGCGCGCGCGCCGCGCGGGTGATGGGAAAAATGGGCTGCTGCTGCCTGCTACTCAGGTGGCAACTGGCGACGACGAAAATGGTGCGGGTACCCAACCCAGTACCCAGCTACCGCACCGTGGCGTGCACACGGGAATGCATTTTATAGAGAAATTTATAAGAATGGCTTCTTTTATATATTTTTTTAAAGGCACGCAGTATACGGCCCTAGATCAGGACTTATATATAAATAATTTCACTTGTTTTGTCATGTATTTACTAGACTTTCCATACAAGTAGAAAAATTATCCAAACACTAGTTATATAGTACAAATGCTAGCAGAGCTTAGCTTTGCATACACAAAAGGGGGGGGCAAAGTGGTTAAAATAATATCAGGGCGAGGGGGCAAAATCAACACATTTCATTAAAAATCATTAGGTCTGATCCTTAGCTTGCGTTAGAGCTTATACAACGTAACATAAGCCAGCATACATGTGTACAGTGTCTTGGTGTTTGGTTGTTCTGCATGGACAAGCCATATTGGATAAAATTGTGTTTGGTTATTTATATTTTGTTGCATATAGTCACCTCCGTATTTTTGTTGAGTTCTCATGTTTTAGTAGAGGTATAGGGGTGAGAATATTTCATTTTTATGTGCGTATCGGCTTATATAAACCTGCATTACCCAGTACAGCCAAATCTGACATACTAATTAATGCAGCATTTCGACCTACTTTGAGTATTGTACAAGCCTGCACAAAAATCTATACAAGCAACCAAACACGAGCAAACTATAGTGCACAAGCCTAGATAAAGGCTAATACAAGCAACCAATCAGACCAATAACAAATTTTCATGTATATAAGAGTAATTCATTTAGCATAGGGGTGTGTTTGGACCCCTCGGCCCCTCCCTCATGTGTTAGGCAAGTGGTTAATCCTTGATCATGAGCATGCATGGCATACATATGTATTTGTGTGAAACCGTACATATGAAATGTTGAGAAAAAACATTAAAATGCTCACTTGTAGGGCTTATATTTTTTTTCTTAAACATTTGTTAATATGTCAACATGAGTGTGGCCGGTATAATTTGATGTAGTTTATAGCCTAGTTAATGCTTTGAAATCTAATAGGTTTAAATCCTAAGCCCTAACTTGAATATTATATGAAAACCTACAAAACAATTAAAAAATTCAGTTTTGGGAACTTAATTTTGAAATATACATATGTGAACATATCTATCAATTCAACCTAAAATATTAGTAAAAACTTTATACTTTCAAATGGTGCAATTCTTGTTGACAATGGAACAGTATTAGCACCTAATTACTTAGATAAATTAGCTTGGTCAACCATGTCCCTTAGCTCTGAATTTGAACATTGGAATTTAAGAATTTGCCATGTTTGAACCCTTCATTCTAAACTATGAAGATTTTGATCTTTGTCCTTAAAGCAAAATGGTATAACAAAGATTATTAATGAATAACTTTCATTACAACAGATTGAAATGGTTACACATGGAATCGAGAGATAGAGGGAGATGAATAGCCGCCTCCTAAGCAAACATAAAGTTCAGTAAGGGGCCAGCGCCAGCAGCAGCTTGCCGCTGCCTTAGCCTGCTACACTCATGTGCAGGTCTTGCTCCCTTGCCCAAGCATTTGCTTCCGCGGCAACCTCAACCAAGAGCTGGAACCCTCTCATGCACAAGCTGCGACCCTTAAGCAGGCTACCGCCGGTGGGCTCTCTCTTTTCCCTCTCTTTCTCACCGCTAACTGCCTCCTTTCCGTCGGCAAAATTCACCGTCGTCCAGTCCTCTGCGTACATTCCTCATGCCACCAAATTTGCCTTGAACTTGAACCCCTGAAGCTCCCTACCCTAACTGGTCATAGTTAGGTAATTTTGCTGGCACGGCCTTCTTTCGATCGGTGAGAATACTTCATTTGGCTAAGTGTCCAAATAATTGAGAATTCCAACTTTATAGCAAAGCCCCATCTGTTGACAATAATAGTCGATTTTTTTTCAATTGATTATATTTTATTTTTTTAAGTAAAATTTCTCTAATTATAACTAAGTTCTTTTCAAAACATATTAGCATTTACAAGTTCAAATAAGTGACTATCAACATATATTTCATGAAGAATCCAATGAAACTAATTTGATGTTATGTATTTTTGTGTGTTACAAATTTAAAAGACTTAGATCAAACTGAAATTAAAAATCAGGTCTTGACTTGCTCCACATCTTCGCGCGGGTAGTGCCCATATGTTGTATCCCTGTTAACCTCTTCTTTGCTCTAAGAAGGCCGATAACACGTGCGTCCTAATTGAGTCCGCACTAGATGGGGACGGCGATACAAGACGAGGAAGGAAAAAGGCGTAGAGATAGAGCGATGAAGGCCGATATATGAGCCCTACCCTCATGCAGGATCCACTAGTCAAGACCTAAGACGCGATGTAGAATCTCTGTAGAATCATGTGGGATCCACTATTGAATGTCATGTGAAGATGTAGAGAGTCAAGACCTGTTTGGACCTAGATCACAACCTATGGTAAGTTTGTGAACCAAAAATGACTTTTTAGAGTTTTGGACTTTGATAACCAAGGACCTAAACATGCAATTTGTGAATTTGAAAACCTAGATAAGACATCTAGAAAAGTTCAGTGCCGCTCATACATTTTACTCTTATGTAAAACTGGAAGGATAGCGCACGTTGCTATGAAAAAAGATAATTTAGAATAAAATTATATATTAATTATACATACTTATGTAAAAGGATAAACTATCATAAATAAATGTCAGTTATGGTATAACACACTCACATGAACAGCTAAATGTACGTTACTGAATGATGGAGCTGAGGCTTACTAACATTGATAAAACCAACATAATTATATGTACTAGTGGGTTGCTGATATGGATAGTTTACATGGAGAGATAAATATGCTAGTAGGGTTTACAAATATAAGATATATAAATATAGATATAGATTAAATCATTCGAACCACATATCACTCTGCACAGGCATTACCAATAGTATACTGGGTGTCGTCCATAACTAGTGATAAACAAAAGCAGTTAAGAGTTGCCATAACAATGGGGTACCAGTGGGCAGTGGCAACGGAGACGTGAAGCACTCCCAGTGGGCAAATGTGTTCTACCAGCATCTCGAGGAATATATACATTAGATTAGAATGGCTTCATACAACACAAGACCCATCACGATATTTCAGCAGCTGACTAATTAGTTCACTTCAAAAGAGGATATATAGCGGTCCAGGGATCCATATAGCTAGCTAACTTTCAGATGAAGTACTGATGTGTTCTACCAGCATCTCGAGGATATATTGCTTGCCTGCATGTATATGAGTATGTCAACAACAATCAGGATCCCCATAATGGTGTAGCAAATTTTAATGCCTAAACCTATGACATGTGTTGACGGGAAACGGTACCCTTTTTTCTATTATAAATATGAAACATCTCGCTTAAGTCAAATTGATTGCATAAACCAATGACATGTGTTGATGGGAAACAGTACCTTTTTCTATTAAAAATATGAAACATCTCGGTGAAGTCAAATTGTAAACCCCTCCCCTTTTTTCTGTTATAAATATGAAACATCTCGCTGAAAACCTATGACATGTGTTGATGGCAGGGGCCTGGCCCCCCCCCTAACCAAGGTAAGTTTCCACTAAATTTTTTGAAATTTGATCAAATTTTGAAAACTTTACACTGTTGGCCCCCCTTGACATGGAAAAATTTGAGTTTCTGGCTCCGCCCCTGATGGGAAACAGTACCCTTTTTCTATTATAAATATGAAACATCTCGCTGAAGTCAAACTGTAAACCCCTCCATCCCTCCCTTCTCAGTAGCAAAGTGGACAATGTTGATTGAGACTGCCTGGCTTACAAATAAGGAAGTCAAGAACTTTTTTCTATTTATTATGCTCATGACTTTTATCATTCGGAGTGAGAACACGATCCATGTATACATACACTTTAAGGAAGTTCTCAATAGATACATATACGGAGTATGATATATCTTACAATGAGATGTAAGTTACACGCATGCCACAGCACAAAGGGGCAGATGGATACCTTAGTGCATTCTCAATTTCAGTATTCTCTGGGTCCAACATAAATCCATCGAAAAACGCTTCGCATGCACTCTTGTAGTCCTGAGAATGCAAGATATGGTGAAAAAAAATTCATAGAAGCTTGACAAAGTATATAACAGGACATTCTATCTCACATTCAGTAACATCAGAGCTGCACCCTGCCGATAGCAGGCCTTTGGCCAGTCAGGCCGCATTTCTCTGCATGCAAGAGAATCCAGTAAAGCCTTTTGTCCATCACACATACGAAGCCAGCAAAGGCTCCTGTCTGAGAACAAGGTAGCATCATCAGGGTCAAGATCCATTGCCTGCATTAAGTCAAACAGTTAGAACTTAGAAGATTTGCTGAGTTTTGTTTACTTCAAAATAAACCATATTTGAATATGAAAACAAATGGACATAAAATGTGTACATTCTTGTCCATAGACACGTATTAGTGCAGGATATCCATGAAACATGCAAGTACTTAGAACTAGAATTAAGTAATTAAATACAGCATAATATTGAAGTAGAAGCCAACAGCAGACCCAATAAGCTCTAATTTATGATGGGGGCATCTCTTGTTAAATGTTGTTTTTTTTTTGTGCAAACATTGTTTCATTTGTTGTTTGCAAATTAAATGTTGCAACAACATTCATGAATGTTGCTGCCAATGTTTTCAAGGCGGTAAGGCAAGGCGAGGCGACTGACTACCGCCTTACGCTTAAGCGACTAAAGCGTGAGGCGAGGCGACGCCTTAAGAAATTAATTAAAAAATGAAAACAGCAGCTTAGAGCAGTAGATGAAGAAAAAAGGAAAGGAAAAAAAGAAAAAGAAAGGAGCCGAGTAAGAAGTGGGCTCGCCCAGCCCACTAGGCAGACCATGTGCTCCTTCCCCTCCTGGCGTGTGGCTTCATCGAAGTCCCTATCCCGAGTTCCCTACCCCCATCAGCGCCGCCGCTCCCCACTGCTATTCCGCCTCCACATGACGGCATGACCGCACGAGTGGCTGCTCTGCTTCCCTCCGCCCCTCTCCGGATGCCCTGCTCTGCTTCCCTCTCCTCCTGACGCGCTGCTCTGCTCTTCCCTCCGCCCCTCTGCTTCCCCTTCCTCTCTCTCCTCTGCTTCCCCTTCCTCTCTGATCAGTGCTCTCAGATCGACAGCCGCCGCCGTCTCCCCTTCAAGATCTCCCGCGTGCTCCTCTCTCTGCGCTGTATTTCTCCGCGCGTCTCTCTCTGCGCGCGTGCCAATTTCTCCTGCGCGCCAGCTCCCTCTGCGCACTCCTGTTTGCCGCCCAGAATTAGACCCGTGTATGGCGCCCGCCACGCACGATTTGGCGCGAATCGGATGCCAAAGCGACGATTTCTGGACGTCACGGTCGTAAGGCGGACGCCATACGAATCTAAGGCGAGTCGTCTGTTGTGGCGTCCCGCGTGGAGCGCCTTGGCGATTAAGCGACAACAAAGCGACGACAAAGCGACGCCTTGAAAACATTGGTTGCCGCAACATTCTTACATTCAACTGTTCCAGTATTTCGAAGCAACACATGCAGCAAGTTCTCAAATTTCACCAAAGATGTCCTGATTATGATTTCCTAATCTTCCTGAGAGATATGGAAGGGGCTGTTAAGGGAAGTATCAAGTGAAGAGATCCATGTCATGACACTTCCTTTGTTGAGGAAGATCAGTGCTCACGTACTGATTGAAACTGTTTGCAGCTAGCTTTCAAGTTGATAGGGATGAAGGAATGAGAGATGTGTTACATTTGAATAGTACATGATTCGCTCCTTTCATCATATTTGTTAAGAGGAATGTATCACAGAATTGGAAAAGAAATGACCAATGTAACAAAAAGAAAAACACAGCCTATTTATTTAGAGTTTTATCCAGAGCAACATCCTTTGCAAATGGAAGACAACATTAGCCCCTCTGAAGCCGTGTTGTTGGTAGTGGCCTCGGGTTAGAATTACTAACAAGACTAGTGAGTCAACCAATCAACCTAATAGTTCACAGGTTTGCCAAGCGGTTCATTCTTCCAACTGGTGGTTCAGACAATTGGTCAGTTGTTACTTGTTAGTGAATTTTTATTGTGTAGTAAATGTTTGTGCATTAATGTTAAGTTTCATAAACAACTTATTGGCCCTCAAAACGCAAAATATGGCCCAACTTTTATTGGTCAGAAACAATTATTAACAAACAGGAAGAGATGCCAATTCAAGTTTTTCCTAGTCAAATTGTTGAAGTCTAGTCTAGAAGAAAAAGTTTGCCATGACAGAAGTGTGGACAACATAGAGAAGTACAAGGTGGCAAAGAAGAATGCAAAGCGAGCTGTAAGTGTGGCAAAGGGTAAAGCGTACGAGGATCTTTACCAACATTTGAGTACGAAGGAAGTCGAGAAGGATATTTATAAGATGGCTAGGGTTCGTGAGAGAAAGACAAGGGACTTTAACCAAGTTAAGTGCATTAAGGATGAAATGGAGCATCTCTTGGTGAAGGAGGATGAGATCCGACATCGATGCCAAGAGTATTTTGACAAATTGTTCAATGGTGAGAATACGGACACAACCTTTCAGTTGGATGACTCTTTTGATGACACCAATAGGCGCTTTGTGCGGAGAATCCAAGAATCTGAGGTCAGAGAGGCGTTTGAAAAGGATGAAAGAAGGTAAGACAATGGGATCGGATGGTATCCCAATCGAGGTGTGGAGATGCCTTGGGGACATAGCTATAGTATGGCTAACCAAGCTGTTTAACCATATTTTTCAATCGAACAAGATGCCTGACGAGTGGAGGAGAAGTATATTGGTACCGATCTATAAGAATAAAAGGGATATTCAAAGTTGTACTAATTACCGGGGAATTAAGTTGATGAGCCATACTATGAAGCTATGGTAGAGAGTTATCGAGCATCACTTGAGAGCAATAACGCGGGTCTCTATGAACCAATTTGGTTTCATGCCCGGAAAGTCAACCATGGAAGTCATTTTCTTAATAAGACAAGTTATGGAGCGGTACAGAGAAAAGAAGAAGGACCTACACATAGTTTTTATTGACTTGGAGAAGGCTTATGATAAAATAACAAGGAATGTTATGTGGTGGGCTTTGGACAAACATAAAGTCCCAACGAAGTACGTCGGACTCATTAAGGATATGTACAACTATGTTGTGACTAGTGTTCGAACAAGTGTTGCAGACACGGATGACTTCCCAATTAGGATATGGCTACATCAATTAGTGATGGATGAGGTCACAAGGGACATACAAGGGGACATCCCTTGGTATATGCTTTTCACGGACGATGTAGTGCTAGTTGATGAAAGTCGGACAGGAGTGAATAAAAAACTGGAGTTATGGCGGAAGACTTTGGAGTCCAAAGGTTTTAGACTCAGTAGAACTAAAACTGAGTATATAAGATGTGACTTCGACACTACTACTCGGGAGGAGGAAGATATTAGTTTGGAAGGTCAAGTAGTGCCTAGGAAGGATACCTTTCGATATTTAGGATCAATGCTACAGAGAGACGGGGATATTGATGAAGATGTTAGCCATAGAATCATAGCAGGGTGGATGAAGTGGCGCCAAGCATCTGGTGTCCTATGTGACAAAAGGGTACCACAGAAGCTAAAAGACAAGTTTTATAGGACGACGATTAGACCTACTATGTTATATGGTGCAGAATGTTAGCCTACGAAAAAGACAACATGTTCAATAGATAAGTGTCACGGAAATGCGTATGTTGCGTTGGACTTGCGGTCATACAAGAAGGGATCGAGTTCGAAACGATGATATACGTGATAGATTAGAGGTAGCACCAATTGAAGAAAAGCTTGTCCAACACCGGTTGAGATGGTTTGGACATGTACAACGGAGACCTCCAGAGACACCGGTGCGTAGTGGAATCCTAAGCCAGGATAGTAACGTGAAGAGAGGCAGAGGAAGACCAAAGTTGACTTAGGTAGAGGCAATAAAAGGAGACTTAAAAGGATGAAATATACCCAAAGACTTAGCCTTAGATAAGAGTGCTTGGAAAACAACTATTCACATGCCTAAACCTTGATTGCTTCTGCTGGGTTTCAACTCTAACCTACCCCAACTTGTTTGGGACTCAAAGACTTTGTTGTTGTTGCTGTTGCTAGTCTAGAAGAAAAAGTTCCGACTGCAACACCAGGAGTCATAGTAAACCAGCAGCAAGGACACAATGGGGCACGCACTTCGGGTTCACCCCAGGCATATCCCGCAGCATCAGTGATTGCCAGCTCCTAAGATTTGAATCCAGATGCACCATCCATTCGTTCAAAGAGCAACAGTCAGCCAGGATGATTGGTCCCCTAGTACGAGAGTCAAAAAGTAAGGACCTTCAGATAGGTTAAGAGAAGAGTAATAAGGGAGGAGTTCCAGTGTCAAGGCCCAACCCGGGGAGGGGGGCTGGCGTGCTAGGGCTGGGGGGGCGGCGGCTGTAGGGCAGCAGGGAGAGGGGAGGCGGCGCTGGACAGAGAGGCGCAGGGAAGAGGACCGAGGCTTAGAAGGGAGAGGAGGGGATAGAAGGCTCTTGGGCTATTCTACTCTTGCTTAATATTGAAAGGTTACATCGCCCCTGTATTTATAGTCCTGAGAGACTTGGCCCCTAAGCAATCTAATCTTGTCCTCCAAGCAAGCATATCCTATCCTCCCGGATCTGGATGTTGGTGGCGCGGCGGGAGGCCACCCCTCCGCTGGTCGCGCCTCCCTCCTGGTGGCGCAGTCAGCCCAGACCTAGCAGGCCTAGGCCCCCTCCTGGGCCCTCTCCTAGGCCCTCCATTAGTCGTATGACATCCAGCTTCAAGGGTCAGGCCTTGATACCCTCATCAAATATAAAAGAAATCTTCTGTGATCTTCTGAGTTCTTTCAAACAGTTTTTCTTATACCTAGGGGAAAAGCTAGGTTAAAAATGATCCTGGTGCATAATTCATCACATTAAGAATTGGATACAATTCGAGAAGCAATATATGGTATATCAAATCAAGTCAAGTACTAACAGAATTTTGCTTTACCCCAGTGCATGCACACCAGGGTAAGTCAAACTACCTTCGCCCCTGCTAATATGCTCATCCAAATCTATGTATATTTCCCTTTCTCAAAACCTTATCCGATTCCAGTCAAGGTACCATATGACAACCACTAACTGAATTTTGCTTTACCTCAGGTGCAGATGCATGTGCACCAGGGAAAGTTAACCTAGCTTCACCCCTGCTAATACCCTGGTCCAATGTGTGTGTTTCCCCTTCCAAAACCGTAATCCACTTCCAGTCACACACTGATGCTTTCAAGCCATATTTTTACTGGGTATCGTATAAACCACCAGCAACGTTTGCCTTTCTTTCTGGTGACTCAAAACCACAGATAGAAGTTTTTTTTTTGAAACTCTGCATAGAACATGCATTCTTATCTCTTTGAATTAGAAGCAAGAAACAATGAACATACTGAGAATATGGTGCTACAACATACCTTACTGTAGAATGATGATGCAGAAAAATAATCCTCTTTCTCAACTGCCTTGCTCCCTAGTGACTTCAGTGCTATTTTCCTTTTCTTCACATGATCCTGAGACAAATAATTTAAAATAAGGATATCCGGAGTAATGTATGGGAAAACTCATTTTTATAGAAGTAAAGAAACTATACAGTACTCTTATGGAAAATTGGAAATGATTGAGGAAAACATGGTTTTGATTTTGCAAAACACATTTCCAATATTAGAGCTGGACTCATGGAGCTAAATTCACAGCAACATAACTCAGGCACAAGGTGCCATTGCTAAATTAGATAGCACCAGAGGGTAAGATAGTGACTAGTGAGTGCATAACATCATGGTAAAGCAATAAACTATGAACAAGAAACAAGCGGCATGCAGCCATTTATCAAGCAAAGAGGCCCCAAAGCTTGAAGCCTTGAACAGTACCACTTATCAAACTACTAATGGAGAAGACGTTATCTTACATCATCAGGAACATTACTACTGGCAATAGCATCCAGTAAGAAATTTAAACACTCAGTTGAGCCCTCATTTCCAAGATTAGAATCAGTTAAAGAAGTTAAGACACAATCTGAACTGACATCAGCACCAGCCTGTCACAAAAAAGAAATGTTACAGTAAATACAGTTAACTGAAACTATTGAAGTTCCCAAACAACCCAAGTGAAGTTATAGGAGTTGACAAAGCTAAAGTCAAAGTACAATACCTCAACCAGGAGCTTCACACATTTCACTGATGAAACATTTATAGCCTGAAAGAGGGGTGTCATACCATACAGTCCATATATCATGTATGTCTTGTTGCACTAGTGTGAGATGCAAAGCACATTAGTTGCTGCAGTATCGATGATAATAACTGGAGGAGTGAAAATACAAAACAGAATGGCAAACATATATAACCATATATCTAGTCAAGCTTTCAGCGAAAAAACAGCTTCTGTGATATTGCAGTTTGCAAGAACAAAAAAAGTACAACTTCAGCACATAGTTGTTGGTCAACTTTTTGACCAGTAGATTTTTCTTATTCAGTTTCATATGGGACTCGCATAAGAGTGACATATATATGATAGAAAGTGAACGATTACAACAATTATATCTTCCTCTTGCGATCCCTTCTTACCTCCTAGTGGAGATAAGTAGGTCGCAATGTACGGGGTTCTTCTTCCCCTTTTCTCTCTCTCTTGAATATAAAGATACACAGCTCTCCTGCTTGTTCGAGAAAGAAAAATTATGACAAATACATAAAAGGGCAATGCATCCAGAAGAATTTGTCCAATGCATGTAAATTGGCACTTAGGAAACTACACATACACGATAGCATGTACTGTAGACTTCCATAGAGAAACAGTCTTGATCCTGATAGAACATTGAGTATTGCTCTCGTGTATGGAAGGAGATTAGGGGGTAAGGTTCAAGCTATTGATTTGAGAATGCCATTATGAATATTAAAAAGAAGGAATGAGATACTTTCTTATATAATAGTTGATAACAAGGAGATGTGAACGAAAAATATAGACCTAAAACTAAGAAAAATAGGAGCAGAAGGAAAGAAGCAAGTAACAAATTTGAAGAGGTATCTATGCTGCACAAGGTTGTTAGCCACGCTGACAACTTCACTCAATTTTACATAGCAGCAAAACAAGCAAAACAACATGAAGGAAACAAAGACTAAATATGATGGATCATGAGAACAACATACAACAAACAAACATGCAACCTAAGGCAGAAATATCGTAAGTTATGCTTACATCTGCTTTGTGGTCCAATAAAATCTTCATAGTACCAGCTTGCCTTTCCTTAGCAGCAAGGTGCAGTGGTGTCCCACATTCATCAGCTAACGGATCTACATAAGCTCCCTTTGCAACCAACAGCTCTACCATTTCACAGTCTCCTGCATCAAAAGCGGAATAAAATGTACTTATTAGTTATTACATAAGATGGGTAAGCTTACTCATGATACTCATCATTCGTATCTAGCCTCCGGCAGACCCGAGTTTACCTGCAGATGGTATACAACACCAACTCGCGTAGCCAAACGATAAAAAATAAAAGAAGAAAAAAGATCAACAACCATATGAAATTAATGAAGGGGCGCATTTAAGACGTGGACACACTTTAACTCAAAACCTAAAGAAATAAAAGAATGGACAGTGGGAAAAACCATCTTATCTGTGTTTTTTTAGAGGATATGTTAGAGTATTTATTTCCTACCTGTATCCTCTATCAATTACTTTGTATCGGCTGCCTCTTGGGTTTCTACCCAGTGTGCTGCCTAGGGACTCCCGGCATGTTGCCTGGGACTTCCCTCCTCTTAACTCTCTAGCTTAGCCTCTCTATATATATATGTAACCCTCTTGTAATCTCATTATCAAGTAATCTAAGCCTATTGGCATTCCTCTATCATGGTATCAGACTAATCACGTCTTGGGCCTTTCATCTCCCGCCCACCCCTCTGCTTCCGCCCCCATCCCCGTCCCTTGGCTGCCGCGCCTCGCCTTGACGGCTGCAGCGCCGATGGCCCCCGTGGCCCCTTCAGCTGCCGCGCCCCACTCCGGCGGCTCAACCTCCGGCTCCGGCGGCTCCACCTCCAGCGCCTCAGCCGCTTCCACCGCGACTCTGCTTCGCGACGAAGTCCTCGCCGCCGCCAAGACGCTAGAAGAGGAGGCCGTCTCCCTGCGCATCACCAACTCCGAGCGCAGTCAGCAACTCCAGGAGGAGGCTGACCTTCTCAAGTCGGCCGCCGCTGCCCAGGAACGCGTCTGTGCCGCCGCCGCTGCTCTTGACCAAGAGCGCGCGCAGGCTGACGCCCTGGAACAGCAGGTCGCTGCCTTCCGCGAGCGTCTTCGCATGGAATCCCTCCGGGACGACGCAACCCTGGACGGCGACGACGACCGCTCCGAAGCTGCGGCCATTGCTCATCTGCATAGCCAGGCCGCCGCTGTCTAGAACATCAAGAACTTGATCCCCATCGTTCTTGATCTGCAGTCTTCCAACTACTCCAAGTGGCGTGGCTACGTCCTTCTCATCCTCGGCCGATTCGCTCTGAAGGACCACGTACTCAGTGACGATTCCGGCTTCGCCGACCCGACATGGTCACGCATGGACTGTGTGGTCGTCTCCTGGCTCTTCAACACCATCTCCTCCGACCTCCTGGACGTTATCCACGAGCGTGACGGCATCACTGCTCGGGCGGCCTGGCTCGGGATCGAACAGCAGTTCCTGAACAATCGTGAGTCCCGCGCCATGCTTCTCGACGCCGAGTTTCGCATCCTCTCCCAGGGCACCCTCTCCATCGACGATTACTGCCGCAAGATGAAGAGTATGGCTGATGCACTTGCCGATCTTGGCGAGCCCACCAACGACCGTACTCTTGTGCTGAATGTTCTGCGTGGCCTCAACGAGCGCTTCCAGTTCATGTCGCAGCTCGTCACCTGGCAGCGGCCGTTCCCTTCGTTTGCTGACATCCGCGCCGACCTACGCCTAGCCGAGCTCAACATGGCGCCTCCCTCGGCTCTCATCGCCTCCTCGTCCAGCAAGCCGCCTGCCTCCTCGTCGACACCTGGGCCTGCATCCCCGCACCCACCACAGGCCGCCGGGGGGGGTGTCCTCTGGCAGCAGCTGTGGCCGGCGTTGTCGCGGCGGCCGTGGCCAAGGCGGTTCGCACAGTGGCTCGCCAGGCGGATCGCAGTGGCCCTCCCTCAACCCATGGACCGGGTCCATCCATATGTGGCCCGGGTCCGCCCCCAGTGGTCCTCGCGGTCCACCACCTCGCGTCGGCCCGCCTTTGTCTCCGCAGCAAGCTCTGATGACGGGCATGCCTCTTCCTGGAGCATACTGTCCTCCAGCTCCTGCAGCATACTACCAGGCGCCCACCCAGACGTCCCCTTCTGCATGGTCACCATGGGATCCCCAGTCCCTCGCCAACGCCTTCAGCACCGTCACCCTCACCCCGCCACCAAGTTCCTCGGACTGGGTTGTTGACTTGGGCGCCACTTCTCACATTGCTTCCAACCCTGGTATGGTCACCATGTCGCCATCCTCCTCTTTTCCTTCCTCCATTGTGGTGGGCAATGGTGCCACCTTACCAGTAGTTGGCACCGGCTACTCTACTCTTCCTGGTCCCTTTCATCTCAACAACGTTCTTATAGCCCCTGACATCATTAAAAACCTTCTTTCTGTTAGACAGTTCACCTCTGATAATCTCGTTTCTGTTGAGTTTGACCCTCTTGGTGTTTCTGTGAAAGATCTACGTACCAGGAACGTTCTCCTTCGGTGTAACAGCTCAGGGCCCCTCTACACCCTGCAGCTCCCGTCGTCGCCCTCCGGTTCCTGTGCTCTTGTAGCCACTCCCTCCCCGGCTACTTGGCATCATCGCCTCGGCCACCCCGGCAAGGCAACTCTTCAGAGCCTCGCCCAGTCTTCTTCGATTATCTGCAGCAAGCCTAATGATGACTCCCTCTGCCATGCTTGTCAGCTTGGGCGCCATGTCCGCTTACCCTTTACTAGTTCCTTGTCGAGAGCACCTCATAATTTCGATTTGATCCATTGTGATCTGTGGACATCCCCAATTATCAGTGTATCCGGATTTAAATATTATCTAGTTATTATTGATGATTGCTCTCATTTTCTTTGGACTTTTCCTCTTCGCTTAAAGTCTGACACTTTCTCTGTCCTTTCTAATTTTTTCGCCTATGTGCTCACTCAGTTTGGTTGCACCATCAAATCCGTGCAATGTGACAACGGCCGTGAGTTTGACAATTCTGCGTCTCGTGCTTTCTTTCTTGCTAAAGGTGTTTCTCTCCGCATGTCTTGCCCCTATACCTCGCAGCAAAATGGCAAAGCCGAGCGCATGATTCGTACCACCAACAATGTCACCCGCACCTTGCTCTTCCAAGCTTCCATGCCCTCCTATTGGGCTGATGCCCTTGCCACTGCCACCCACATCATCAATCGGCTCCCCACCAAGACTCTAAACATGAGCACCCCTTTCTTCGCGATCTATGGCACTCATCCTTCCTATCATGACCTCCGGACCTTTGGGTGCACTTGTTACCCCAACCTCACCGCCACCACTCCTCACAAACTCGCCCCGCGTTCTTCTCTGTGCGTTTTCATTGGCTATTCTCCCGATCACAAGGGCTACAGGTGCCTCGACCTCGCCACCAACCGCGTCATCATCTCTCGTCACGTTGTTTTTGACAAAACAACGTTTCCTTTCTCCCTTCGTCAGCCTTCACCACCTACACACGAGCTTGATTTTCTAACTGATAACGACCCCCCGTCAGTTTCTTTCCTACCTACAGGTATACCTGGAGGCGCAGGCTCCCTGCCAGTGCCTGCGCCTCTGCGCGCCCCCTCCCAGCCTGTGCCATCGATCACTCCGGTGCCGGGACTGGGCACGCAAGCGTCCAGGCCATCTCCACCGGGTTTCACCGTGCCCCGGCCGTCAGTCGCCTCGGTGCCTGTCCCAGGCACACCGGCGTCCCAGTCTCCCCCTCCCGGCTTCACCACGCTTCAGCCGGCGGCCCCCCTGCAGGCGCCCCTGGCATTCTACTTCGACAAACCGCCCGTCGTCCATGTCTACACCCGGCGTGCCCCGGCACCCAGCTCGCCACCTGAGCCCCTCGCTGAGGCTCCCCCTCGACGCTCCGGCATCATTCCCTCTCCACCGCGCTATGTTAAGAGTGGTCCTCCGCTTTCGGCAGGCGCTGTTCCCATCCCACCCGTCGCAAATTCTCATGGCATGGCGACCCGTGGGAAATCTGGGTACCAGCAGCCTCGTCTCACTCTGCACACCGAGGCCCTGTCCCCGCTACCGCGGTCCTGTCGTGACGCTCTTACCAATCACCATTGGCGTCGGGCTATGGAAGAAGAATATGCTGCTCTCTTGGACAACCACACTTGGGATCTCGTCCCTCGCCCTGCCAAGGCGAATGTGGTCACCGGCAAATGGATTTTCAAACACAAGTTTCATGCTGATGGTTCTCTGGACAGATACAAGGCTCGATGGGTGCTTTGCGGGTTTACACAGCGCCCCGGTGTTGATTACGATGAAACCTTCAGCCCTGTCATCAAGCCAGCTACTGTTCGCACCGTCCTCACTCTGGCTCACTCTCGGGACTGGCCGATCCATCAACTTGATGTGAAGAACGCTTTCCTTCACGGGACATTGTCAGAAACGGTGTACTGCTCTCAGCCCACTGGTTTTGCCGATCCTGCTCTTCCCGAACACGTCTGCAGGCTCAACAGGCCCCTCTACGGTTTGAAGCAGGCACCGCGAGCATGGTATAGCCGGTTTGCTTCTTATCTGCTCTCTCTGGGTTTCACTGAAGCCAAGTCCGACACCTCCCTTTTCATCTATCACCGCGGCACCGAGACAGTCTAGTTGCTCCTATATGTGGATGATATTGTTGTTACAGCCTCCTCTCAGCCGCTCTTATACCGGGTGATTGATGCACTGAAGAAGGAATTTGCCATGAAGGATCTTGGTTCTCTGCACCATTTTCTTGGCGTGGCAGTTCAGCGACAGAAGGACACTCTATTTCTCTCACAGCGTCAGTACACTCTGGACATTCTTGCTCGCCATGGCATGAGCGACTGCAAGCCTTGTTCCACCCCTGTTGACACTTGTGCCAAAGTCTCTACTGATGCCGGCTCCTCTGTTGATGATCCTACAGCATATCGCAGCCTTGTGGGTGCTCTCCAGTACCTAACTTTCACCCGGCCCGACATTGCGTACGCCGTTCAACAAGTCTGCCTGCACATGCATGATCCCCGGGAAGTTCATCTTGTTGCTGCCAAGCGGATTCTTCGCTACCTTCAGGGCACTATCGGCTTTGGTCTTGTCATTCCCCGCTCTGCCCCGACTCAGCTCATCGTCTACACCGACGCTGATTGGGCTGCCTGCCCTGACACCCGCCGTTCCACCTCCGGCTATGCTGTCTTCCTCGGTGGCAGCCTCATCTCCTGGTCTTCCAAGCGCCAGCCCACTGTTTCACGGTCGAGCGCCGAGGCCGAATACCGTGCAGTTGCCAACGGCGTCGCCGAAGCCTCCTGGCTGCGGCAACTTCTGCAGGAGCTACATCACCCTCTGGATTCTGCTTGCCTCGTCTACTACGACAACGTCAGCGCCGTCTACCTCTCCACCAACCCCGTTCAGCATCAGCATACCAAGCACGTGGAAATCGACCTTCACTTCGTCCGGGAATGGGTCGCCCTTGGAGCTGTCCGTGTGCTTCACGTTCCCACCACGTCGCAGTTCGCCGATGTCTTCACCAAGGGCCTTCCTTCTTCTGTTTTTATGGATTTTCGCTCCAGTTTGAACGTTCGTTCTAACGACGTTCCGACTGCGGGGGGGTGTTAGAGTATTTATTTCCTACCTGTATCCTCTATCAATTACTTTGTATCGGCTGCCTCTTGGGTTTCTACACAGTGTGCTGCCTAGGGACTCCCGGCATGTTGCCTAGGACTTCCCCGTCTTAACTCTCTAGCTTAGCCTCTCTCTATATATATGTAACCCTCTTGTAATCTCATTATCAAGTAATCTAAGCCTATTGGCATTCCTCTATCAGGATAGACTGCCTGCCATGCACATCGACACATTTAAGGATGTTGTGCATGATAGTTTGGCAGAACCTAAAATCAAATTTGAAGATAACCTACTGCCTCACAAACCCCTAAGGTTGAGAAATATAAATTACTATGGAATGGTGCCAAATAAATCCTAGTAAGAACAGAATGCTGCCACATAATAATATCGTACAAAAAAGGGTTAAGAAAATGTGGGGCAGGTGTGAAAAACAGAGATATTAATGAATAGGAAAGACCTATTCCAGCAGCAGAATGTAGAGGAGCTAGCCCATCATTGTCAACTTTGTTTGGATCAGCACCATGATCAAGAAGATACTTGACAACAGCAGCGTTTTCACTGACCACCGCATAAACCAGAGGTGTTCTACCTATCAAGAACAGACAAGGAAATGCTTATTGATGAAAACACTCAAGGGCCAGAAGAATGTAAATCTCAAGAGCAGTGAACTTTTTAGAACATGACATTAAGAACCGTTATCCACAAGGTTTCAGAGTATGGAAGCACAGATACATGAAATTTTAGGCATTGCATTTGCATGCAGTAGGGCATTACAGTGCACGGGGCAATGTTGGGCAGACTGGACTGACTTTCTCATTTTAAAAGTTGCAGAATCCCCGTAAATTTGCAGAATTAGGTACAGTTTTCTTGTATTAAAAAAGATTGGATATAAAGGTCTGTGACATGAAATTGAAGCATCAATAACATCAAACTCTCTGGGGGCATTTTCATATGTAAAAAAAAAATCCAAAAGAAAAAAGAGAAGTCCAGTTTGATCAATTACATGTTTGTATCTGTCGGCACAACTATTTCAATATTGAACCTGGCCTATTCCAAATAGATGATGAGTGAGCATGACATAGCAAGAAAACGAAGACAATATCCCAAGAGTAAACCCATCCTTATATTTTGTGCCTTTCTTTGTGAGGTGTAGGCGTCTAGGGGCACCAATTGAAGAAAAGCTTGTCCAACATCGGTTAAGGTGGTTTGGCCATGTCCAAAGGAAACCTTGTGGAGTCCTAAGTCGAGATATCAATGTGAGAAGAGGTAGAGGAAGACCGAAGCTGACATGGGGGAGGCAATAAAAAGAGATTTAAAGGGTTAGGACATACCTAGAGATCTTTGTTTGGATAGGAGTGCTTGGAAAGCAGCTATTGACGTGCCTGAACCGTGACTAGGGGCTCATGTTGAGTTTCAACTCTAGCCTACACCAACTTGCTTGGGACTAAAAGGCTTTGTTGTTGTTGTTATTGTTGTCGCCGTCGTCTTTGTGAGGTGCAGGGACAACATAATCAAGTGCCCGTGACCTCATCAATGATATCTAAAATCTAGAGATTGAGCAGCTGAGCAGCTTTAGACAAACAAAATCAGGTAAAGCATTCATGAGAACCAAGAAGTTGGGTCACCAGGTGTCCACAGGCCACAACAATCAATATAACATGGTGCAATTTCATCATCAAAAGGGGAAAAAAACAAGCATGCAGGCAGTCCTGGATTCCGGGCAGCGCTATGGCGTATGGACTAAGCAAGAAGCAAACAATTGGAAGAAATAGACAGACCCTCGTCGTCGACGACGTTCACGTCCACGCGCAGCCCCTCGACCAGGTAGCTGCACACCTCCAGCTGCTCGCAGCCCGCGGCGAGGTGAAGGGCCCGGTCGCCGCGGTCCGTCCTTGCCGCTTCGACCGCCTCCCTGAGGCGGCCTCTTCCCTTGTCGAGAGCTCGCACCAGCCCTGCAAAACAACGGGTCATGGTGGTGGTGGCGGCGGCGGCGGCTCGCGGCCCCCAAAAACAAAATCAACATCCGAGCACCAATCGCGGCCGGAATCGGAGACCGGGGAAGGACGGGCGTACTCTTGAAGAGGCGGAGGTCGCCATTGCACGCCGCCTGGAGGAGCATGTCCTGCATCGACGAGGAGAGGGCTGCCGCTGGCGGAGAGAGAGCGAGAGGGGAATTAGGGTTTAGTGTGCGGGTGCAAGGGCCGGGGGTTGGAGACGAGAGGTGTGCTTACCGGAGAACATGGAGGCAAACGGGCGAGGCGGCGCTGGTGCCATGGCAGCGTCGGTCGGAGAGAGCAAGCTGCCTCTCCCGCAGGGTTTTGCGGAGTGCGGGAGAAACGGAGTGGGAAAGAGTGATATTTTCTTTAAAAAATGAAACGAAAGGAAGGCGAGGAAGGAGGAGGTGTACGCAGGAAGGAAGCCGGCAGGGGAGGCGCGCGGGGCCGGCCCAGTAGTACTACTTGGACGAGAGAAAAAAACTTTGTTCGTTTACGAGCCATGGATTGAGGTGCAACAAATTAGGCCTGGGTTAGTTGCCAAATTTTGGATGTGCAAAGTTGGCAAAATATACTGTAGCGTAACTGTAGTATTTCGTTTGTATTTGATAATAATTGTCCAACCATTGACTAATTAGGCTTAAAATGTTCGTCTCGCAAAGTACAACCAAACTGTGCAATTAGTTTTTAATTCCGTCTACTTTTAGTATTCCATGCATGTACCGTAAGTTTGATGTGACGGGGAATCTTCTTTTTGCATAGTGCCAAAGTTGAGAGTTTAGGAGGAACTAAACAAGGCCTTAGCTGAGATACTGTATCACGGTACGTAGATTCATTTCATAATTTCATAATCGATAACGCTGGCACACGGGACGGCTCGTTCTCGGGCCTCCTCCGCTCTACCTTTGGCAGAACGTGATTTCTCAAAAAAAAACCTAAAAAATAAAAAATACAGCGACATTTTCTTTCCCCACTTCCGCACGTATACGACCGCCACAAGCGCATCCACCATCCCTCCCGCCCGCCACTGGCCTTCTCCAACGCTTCATATGTTTGTTCCTAATGTTTTATCTATTTTTCCAAACTACGTTACAAGTGTGTTTATATGGATGTTGCATATATTTCACACATATGTTGCAAAGTGTTTTATCTAGATGTTGCATATGTTTACAAATTTTTTCATGTGTTTCAGACGCATGTTTCGAATATTTTAGTTGTTTTGTAAGTATGTTGCAATTGTTTTATTTGGATGTTTCAAAAATAGATCGGGGGTGTTGTGCACGTTGCAATGTGATGTGAGCCACCTACCGCAGTCGCTTGCTGCAACTGTTAGGGCGTCGTGCATGTAGGGGGAGCGGCGCAGCAGGCGTGGTGGGCGCGGGAAGCAAGGAAGCCTGGGGGAGTGGTGCGGGCGGGCCCCGCCTGTGCATGCAGCAGGCTGGTGCGAGCGTTGCAGCGGGTGTGGGCGTCCGGACGTCCGGACGCTAGTACTGTAATACGTAGCAAAAAGTGGGATTCTGTGGTGCATGTGCATGGTTATCTTCTTATCTTCGTAAACTGTTACCCAACTAAAAGAGAGATGTAGAATACTATGATGCAGCCTTGATCTCATGACATCTCGGATCCAATACAAACATGCATAGCGTGCATCTTCGCAGTGCAAATGATACAATATACTCATCTATGATAAAAAGAAAACGACAAGCATCAGATGATCAGCAACAAACAAGCCTACTAGTTTCAATAACAATTCTGTTCAAAAAGTTTCAATATCAATGAGTTAGGGCCTATTTGGTTCCTGAACTTCTGATGGGCCATGAACCAAACACACTATTATCAAAACTATGAGGATGCCATGTGGATACCACGTGTCATAGACTTTTTAATGTCAAGACATATACAACGTGCATCTTCATTTGTAGATTTTGACTACAATACAATGCTTCATGCGGTTGTTCGATCAGATACACAGTTTTGTCATAATATTGCCATTTGTAATTGGCAATAAAAAGAAAAGACAACCCATTTAATGCAACCAATGTTGGACGTCACCAATGGCAACCCTCAACAGCCAATCCAAACCGAGGACCCATTTGGAACAGAGGAATCGAAAACATAGAGAAAAGGGAAAGAGATTAGTTATGTTGTAAAACAAAGGAAAGGGAAAAGAAAAGAAACGAGATAGAGTGGTGTTTGGAATACAGAAATCATAACTCATGAATTATATAACAAAAAAACTAAAAACAATTAGCATTTAAAGCTGCTTTATTTAACTTATTTATTCACAACGACATCTTCTCTCTTTCTCTCTATGCTTTGCCTCGGGCTTATGCCAAAACTTCAACTCGGACTAGATTTTTTATTCCTAGGTTTTGTGGACAGTTGCCTTCCTTTCCTATGAAACAGAGTCGTGTTCCTCTGTTTCAAACACATCTACATTTTTAGGCCCCTTTGGAATGGAGGCTTGACAAAGGATTTTTGGAGGATTCAGACTCATAAGAATTTTTTACTATACACCCCTTTGGTTCATAGGAAAGAATAGGAAACATTCCCTAGGATTGTATTCCTTTGGCTTGATTTCACAGAAAAGCAAGCAAGAGGTCTGATCTTTTAGAAATTTTCCTGGTGGGAAAGCGGCCTCCTCGCGCGTGCATCATTGGCTCTCCTGTTTCTACTGCACTTGTGTGTTTGGGGGAAAGGTGGCCATTATGCAAGCAAGTTGTCCAAATTCAAAAGTTGGGAGCATCAATCCTCTATTTTTCCTATAGTGCTACCAAAGGCCGTCTCATCTTATTTCCTGTGTTTTCTATTCCTACAGGGTTGGATACACATGCCACCTCAATTTATGTATTTTTCCTATTCTTATACTTTTCCTATCCCGTGTTCCAAAGGGACCATTAATCTTGTTGTGCCCATGTGTATAGTAGCAAATCTGCTATGATTTTGAGGCAAACGATTCACGGGCCTCAGGCCATGTTTGGAATGAAAGATTTCTAAAGTATAAAAACTTTGAAACATAGGATTGAAAAAAAAGGAATAGAAAAAGTATAGAAACTTTGCAGGAATGCACTTGCAAAATAGAGGCTCTGAAAACCTTCATCGGGCACTTCCAAGGTACTTACACTCGACCTGATAACTCTTCGGATCTGTGTAATTGCAAGCAGAGGTAGGTTGAGACCCTCCGAGAGTACATCCAACGCTTCTCCAAGAAAGCAATGAGCTCCCCAACGTATTCACATCCAACGCTTCTCCAAGAAAGCAATGAGCTCCCCAACGTATTCAATGCCTTCACCTGTGGCACCACTTGCGAGGCGCTCGTCCACACGCTCAAGCATGAAGCCCCATGAGCGACACGGGAGCTTCTGGAAGTTGCCACCATGTACGCCATAGGAGAAGAGGTTGTCTTGGCCAACTTCAACGGCAAAGACAAGACCGGCGCTCACCACAGTAGTGGTGACGGCGACGACGTGGCCACCGCGGCCAGCCATCACCAAGACAAGAAGAAGAAGAACAAGAAGCGCCGTGGGGAGGAGATGGTGGCTGCGGTTGACAGCGCCACCCCGACCGTAGCCCAAGGGGAAGGCCTAGCGACCCGATGAAAGCTCTAGTTTGGTTTTAGATAATTGATAAAACCCTAGGTACTAACCTTTGGCTCTAATTAAGTGAAAATGAGATAGGTTAGTACACACCAAGTGGTGGGGCAAGATGAAGTTCATGGAGGTGATGATGGACATGTGATGGTGGTGATCAGGCTCCAAATTTGGAAAAGAAGAAAGAGAAAACAAAATATGCTCAAGGCAAAGGTATAATTGATAGGGCCATTTTGTTTTGCCACTCAAGACACCTAGTGGGTGTGAGTGGGTTTAGGATAAATGTCATACTATCAAGAGGGGAGAATCTCGGTTAAAGCGGTTATCAAGTGCCACTAGGTGAAGTGATTCATGCATATATATTAGGACCTAGTGTGCTAATAATTAATCCTTGAAAAATACTTGAAAAATGCTAACACACTTACACATGGTGGTGTACATTTGGTGGTGTTAGCACATTTGCAAAGGTGATGAAAAAGGAGAAGAAATAGCACATAAAAGGTGAAAATAGTGGTGCTATCTCTCAACAAGTAATTCTCATTTCTCAACAAGAAATTCTTGTTGAGGAATAGTAAGGAACAAGCTGCTTGTATGCCGTGTTAGTGCGTGTCAGTGAGAGAGAAATTGCTCAACCAGCAATTCTCGTTTGTGTACAAGAAATTCTGGTTGAGGAATAGTGTTTGAAAGTGACAGGCAGCAAATCCAAGGCTTCGAACCCAGGTGGCTATGCGGTTCTGGACCAATCTAGGCGGATCTGGTTGGCGTGCGGAGCGAGGGCTGAGAGTGTGGTGTCGAGGCATAGCTTCGGACCCTAGGGCGCGGTAGCTTCAGACACGGGTCTAGTCTACGCAGATTAGCGAGGAGCAGAGCAGCGGTAGATAGCGCGAGTGCACGTGCGGGTGACTCCGAACTATGGGAAGCTGAGGCTTTGGACCTCCCTCACTCGGTCCTATTGCGACGTGGGGAAGCAGGCAGATGCGCGACGCTCGATGTGCGGGGGGCGCTGGCTCTGGAGCTTGAGAGTTTGGGTCCGGTTGCTGGGTCCAGACTGGGTTCGGAGGGGAAAACCATCTCTAGAACCTCGTTGGATTGAATAGGACCGAGGGGTTCGACGATCCTGTTGCTCGGTCTGGTTCTAGGGTTCGGTACTACACGGTTTGGCTTGAAAAATTGTGACTGTTGGGATCTAACGAACGGAATTGAACGGGTGACACGTGGCGACATCCGGGGGTCTGGACCTTCACTGTAGATGGTCCGAAACCATGGTCCGGAGCCTGAGTCCGGACCTCCCCGAGGGCATAACGGCTATAACTTTTTGGGGCTCTATAAATAGAGCTTGGTCAGTTTAGGCTCACTCTCTTGGTCATTCTTACATGTGATAGCATCCTTTAAGTGGAGCCAAACCTCTCCCACTCATTCTCTTGCTTGGTTGTGCATCCTAAGTGAGTTGGGAGTGATCCAAAGTGTATTTGCTTGAGTGATTGTATCTAGTGGCACTTGGGGATCGATTTGCTGCGATTTTCTTGTTACTCTTGGTGTTTGCC